CCTAGCCTAATAAAAAAAAATGTTGCTATAGACAAGAAATTCTTTATTAACCGTTAAGTTAACTATTTTTCATATTTGATATATTGATGAAATTTTCTCTAAATTTTGTTGCTTGTTAAACATGCAAAATAAAAGTTTTCCATTATATATGCAAAATTAGAAATGTTATAACAAGTAAACATACAATCTAGGAACAAACTACCATAAATATAAGTACAAACATTTAGCACTACCATAGAGTCTTTATGTCAAATGGTAACAATATATGTTTGTTGTGGGTGGTGTAACATATCAACTATATACATCATAAATTCATGCATTGTCTTGATGAATATTAGAAGTACTGGATGAAAACCCGACCATATGGGCCATACGGTTGGCGCAACATACCAACCATAAGTTGGATATAGTTGATCGAGTGCTATGTAAGAGATTTTGGAGTTGTGGGAAGCTAACTATTAGGTCTAGGATCAAAGTGGAGCTGGAGTGGTCGAAGATTAAGAACTTTGTTGGTGTTGGTCACAACCATTGGAATAACCCATATCCATAAACTTGATCTTGTGTAATTGGATCAATTATATTTGCCCCAAGAAATGCATCCAAGAGGGCGCTTATTTGTAATTGGCTAAAAGGTGTGATTGATTAATATGGAATTATGAATTTCTTATTTTAGTGATATTCTTTTTATTTTATTATTATATCATATTTCTTTTCTTCTTGAGCTATTTTATCTTTGATAAGCTGTAATGGTTGAAATTAAGTTTGTCATAGTCGTTCCTTATTATATAAGAGTTATAATTTGATTATTTATAAATTAAGAGAATATAATTTTTTTCACCTTCTTCATGGTATTAGAGCCTCGCATAACTGCTCGCTATTGCTGCTCGGTTCGACATCATTCACGCACTAGATTGTCTGAATTTTTGTCAGAACCGGTCCGACATGACATAAATGAGAACTCGTCAATCGTCTTCTTAGTATAAACTAATACAACATGATAGAAATGAGAACTCGTTGATCATCTTCGTCATCTGGCTCACATCATCTTCGACATTTGGTTTTGTGAGTCGTACAACTTCATATAATTGCACTGCTCTTCTGCCGATGTTCTCCTTTGACTGAATTATGCGGCTTCGAACTGAAGTATTGAATCAAATTCTAGCTTCCAACGGCCACGAAAACCTTCCAACAGTCGTAAGAACCTCCTTTGTTGGCTTGTACACCCTCCTCTACTTTTCACTGCACCCAAAACTCTTCCCTCAGACTGGTTTCTGTTCAGCTCTGCTGCCATAATTCTCCCCGCAACTGAAATCCTCCTTGATGCAGGCCCTCCTCCACCGGAATCCTCCTATGTTCTCTGTAGCAACAACCAACTTATCGCCTTCTGCAGCAGGCAATAGGCACAGGAACTCATTTGTAACTTCTCCCTACAGCCACCTGAATCCCTTCAGCTTGCCTGCAGACCCGCCCTAGCTCTTTCCTACAATTGGAAATCCCTGATGCAAGCTCTCTTTCAGCGAATTCTCCTTGCTGACCCTTTGTTGTTCACCTTGTTGTTGCTGGACTTTTTTTTTCCTATAGTAGCAACAACCAACTTCATCCTTGTAAAAAGCTGCAACCCTAAATACATATAGGTTTTATGACCAAGTACAGTAAGAGTTCCACTTTAGAGGTTAATCATTCTTTATGTGAACATTGCAATAAACTTTGTCACATAAAGGAAAAGTGCTAGACACTACATGAAAAACCTACAAAATGAAACCTGAGCAAGTGAGGAAAGACCAAGACAACAAGACCCTTGTTGCCTCCTCTTCTGAAGTGTCAACTGACACTAGCCTTTTCACCAAGAAACAATTGGAGGTTTTGAAGAAACTTATTTCGAGTACAACTGGGAGCGAACTATCAACCTATAGATATACCAAGGTTCATGTCCTATCTCGCTAACAATGGAAGATTTTGACCTTGGAGCATAGATTCAGGTGCTTCTGATCACATGAATGAAGATATTGATGCTCTCACCAACTATCAAGAGCTCACCTACTTTAAATTTGTCAGATTTGTCAATGGATATCACTCAAGAATTGTTGGGAAAAGAGCAGTAAAAGTCTCCAAAGATACTCAACTTTCTTTTGTATTATATGTTCCTCAATTAGATTACAACTTATTGTCAATTAGTAAGATTACTCATGACTTAAAATATGTTATTAAATTATATTCTAACACTTGTGAATGTCAGGTGGTGGGTTCGGGGAAGGTGATTGACAGTGTCTTATCTTTATTAATGTTATGTTTGATTTTGTTGAAAGTCAAATTCTATTATGACATTGTCATCCTGCTCATCCCAAATTTTCTTATATTGCAAAGTTGTACCCTCACATCTTTATTAATAAAAAATCAGGGTTTTATTAGTGTGAATCCTATCAGTTGGCTAAACATATTCGTTATGTCTATTCTTTGTCTCAGTACAAACCCTCATTTCCTTTCTCTACCATCCATAGTGATATTTGGGGACCATCAAAATTGAAAACCATCAATAGAGCCAGATAGTTTCTTCTTTATTGATGACCACACTAGAATCAATTGGATATTCTCCATGAAGGAAAAATCTAAAATTAAACAAATCTTTCAATCATTCAATAACATGATTTCCACTCAGTTCTAATGCAAAATTCAGATCCTCAAAATCGATAATATAAAGGAATACTTCAATTCTATCCTTCGACCATATCTTGCAAAGAACGATATCATTCATATGAGTTTTTGTATTGCAACTTAACAATAAAACCGGATTGTTGAGTGGAGGAATATACATCTTTTTAAGGTATCTAGATCTATTATGCTTTCTCACAATATACTAAAAAATTTCTAGGGAGATATGCTCATAGCCACCTACCTAATTAATAGAATGCCAAGTATGGTCATTGGATTTAAATCTCCTTTTGATATTGTCATGAAAAAAAAAACTCTCATGTCAGAGCCTTCTTATCCAAACTTCCTCTAAAAATATTTTACTATCTCCTTTGATCGCATTCACCAACCAAACCGCACAAAGCTTAACTCAAAATTCATGAAATGTATCCTCCTTGGGTATGCTTCTAACAAAAAAGGTATAAATATTCTCCCATTAAAAAAATATTATAACTCCATATATGTTACCATCTTTGTAAATCAATCATACTACCCGAAATTTGATATTTAAAGGGGGAGTCCTGAAATCTGATATTTAAAGGGGGATTCCCGGTGAATATCAGATTTGGGACACTGCTCTGAATAATCACATGAATCGAGAGAACCACAATCTATTATACTTTCCTACACTACACTAGATGCTCACACTGATCTAGAGTTATCACAACATAATCTTATTCTTTCTAACTATATAGTCTCTCAAGTTCCACCGGTTGAGAACATCCAACTTGAGATTGACAACAAGGAACTTCGTGTGTATACTAGGAGAAAAAAATTCACTAAATAGAATAAAGACAATATGCAACCACAAGATTATTTACAATCCTGATTTACACATCTTTAAAGTTCTACGGGAGGTGGAATCCAGTGGGGAAGACAATGAAAGTTGCACAAATTATCATATCCAAGACTATGTTGCCTATGAGAAATTATCGTCAACTTATAATTTTTTTGTATCTAATTCTGATAGTGTACAAATACCGAAGTCTATTCATGAAGTACTTAAAAGTCCAGAATGAAAAAAGTTAGTTGAAGAAAAGATCTAAGCACTTGATCTAAATGACACGTAGATCTTTACAAAGCTTCCTCCAGATAAAAGACCAGTTGGGTGCAAATGGGTGTTCAATGTCAAGTACAAAACAAATGGGAGCATTGAGATATTCAAAATAAGGTTGGTGGCCAAAGGTTTCACGTGGTTTTATGGGATAAACTATCAATAAATATTTGTTTCAGTGTCCAAGTTAAACTTTGTAAGTGTTCTCTTTCCTTGGCAGTGAACAAAAAATAGGAACTTCATCAACTTGATATCAAGAATGCATTTAGGAATGGAGACATTGAGAAAGAAGTGTATATGAAAATCTCCCCAGGGTTGGAAAATGACTAGAATAAACATTTGGTTTGTAAATTAAAAAAGTCACTTTATGACCTCAAATCCCAAAGGCTTGGTTTGATAAGTTTGTCAAGGTTATGAAATTTAATGAATACATTCAATGTCAAGCAGATCACACACAATTCATAAAGCATACAAAGGGAGGTAAAAAAAAAACTATACTTATTTTCTATGTAGATGATATGATCCTGATAGGTGATGATGAAAAGGAAACTGGGAAGATCGATAGTCTTTGCTACTGAATTTGAAAATAAGAATCTATGAGCGATGGTATACTTTCTGGGCATGAAAGTGGTCAGGTCCAAGATGGGTATTATGATATCTCAAAGAACGTATATTCTAGATCTATTAAAATAGACAAGAATGATGGGATGCAAACCTAATCAGACTGCTATGGATTTCAACAAAAAAATATATTAAGAGTGAGAGAAGACGTCAGTGTAAAAAGGTAGATATCAGAGATTGGTGGATAAGTTTATCTACAGGTCACACACTAGACCTGAAATTGCATATTCTGTCGGCATTGTGAATCAACTTATGAATAGTCTGAACGAGGATTATTTAGAGATGGTTTACAGAATATTGAGGTTTCTTAAAAAGAAAACTGACAGTTACTATTTAAGAAATCAGGCAACAGGGAGGTAGATGTTTACACTGATGCTTGTCGGGTAGAACTCACAGACAGAAGGTCCACTTTTGTGTATTGTTTCTATCTCTGGGGAAATCTTGTGACTTGGATGAACAATAATCGAGCAATGGTTTTTAGAAGTAGTGCAAAGTCTGGGTACCGAGCACTTGCTTTAGGAATTTGTGAGGAATGTGGATCCAAAGATTACTAAGTGAGTTCGGATACTGTACGGTCAATCCCATAAAGAGGTTTTGTGATAGCCACGACGCTATTAGTCTTGTAAAGAATGTGTGCATCCTGATAGGATGCAAACACATTGAGATTGATAGACATTTTAACTCTTAAAAAAGTCAATGAAGGCATTATTCACGTAATCTACATTCCGACTCATCTTCAAGTCGCTGATGTTTGCACTAAATCTCTATCTCTTGGCAGCTTCACTGATTTGAATGCCAAGCTAGGCCTTTACAACATCAATGATCCAGCTTGAGGGGGGGTGTGAAATTTTAAATTTCCTATTTTAGTGTTATTCTCTTTTTATTATGTCATATTGCATTCCTTCTCGAGTTATTTTATCTTTGGTGAGTTGTAATGATTGTAATTAAGCTTGCCTAGTCGTTCCTTATTATATAAAGAGTTGTAATTTGATTATTTAAAAAATAAGAGTAAATGATTTTCTCCACCTTCTTCAATTAGTATGTGCCATGTAGATTGTAACGATAGATCCAAGGATAGGAAAATAAGTTTAGTTGCTTATAATGCATTACATCATAACACTTCAAAACTTATTTTAAAAAACTAGAAAAACTTGCACTAATTTTTTTGGACTTCCTATCACAAAATTTACTGTCCTACTTTTTCTTCAATTTGTTTAGTTGAGGTGTGTCACTTTGGGTTTATAGACTGATTTATTTGACTCAAACATGACTTCATTCGAATATAGACCACACAAACCTCATTTGAATTTCTTGCCTAGTGTAGAGAATGCATACATACATGTATGCCTACAATGCCTACATACATACGTACATATATATGTGAGTGTGGGTACAAATCTATAATGTGGCTGTTGTGAAGTTGATCATCATTAAGATATTCATGTTTTGTTCAATTTGCTGGTTTAAAAAAAAATCAAATCAATTTTCGGCCAAATTTAAGTTATTTGCAAATGTCAATTCAAATTAGCTCACTTTCATTTACGGCTGAATTATATCTTGTTTTCTCATAGGATGGCACCAATGGAGCACCAGTTGTTTCAGTGAGGAAATTTGCAGAGATACAGGAAACAGTGATCAAAGAAGCTGGTGATGCAGAAATAGACATATCCCAACACCGTGTGTTTCTTCTTGGAGAGAACCGGTGGGAAGAACCATCTAGGGTTCAGAGAAGAAACAAACCTGTTGAACCCAACAAGGCTTCATTTCTCACGCAGTGCCTCACTTGTCGTGGAGAAGGCCGATTAATGTGCTCAGGTTTGTGGCATTTATATACATTGCATATAATTCTTATGTATTTACATATCTCACCCCTAAGCTTTCATATTTACGCACATAGCGCTCAAATCCTTAATATCGCATAAAAAACAGGAGTACTATTACTTTTTGCAAGTGAAATACACGTTTTGATGCATAGGCTTAAAACACTTAAGTGCAATGTACGTAAATATGAAAGTTTAGTTGTGAGATATGTAAATACATAAGAATTTTGTGCTACGTATGTATATTTTTCATGTACCTTAAATTGTATGGAACTTGCTATTTAACTGTCTTTTTATACTAAAATTCTGTATCTAACCTTCATGCAGAGTGTGATGGCACTGGTGAACCAAATATTGAGCCACAGGTACCCATGGAACTGTTCCTTGTCAGTTACATCCTATATTATTTTTCTTTAGGGACATTTACATGTATACATACCACCCAATGCTTATGTATATTCATATCTAACACTAATTTTATTATTTATACCACCCACATCTTTCATAACACAAAAAAAATATTGCCATTCAAATTTCACCATTTTAACTTTAAAAAAGTGAAATACACCTTTTCATGTAGGGCTGTCAAAATAACTCATTGTTCGCGAACAACTCGTTTTCGAAGCTCGTGTTCGGCTCGTTCGCTAAGTTAACG